TAATGTGTGATTGCCACGCTATGCTCAACGTTTTACTTGCTGAAGAACGAACGACTTCCTCGTTTCCATCGCGACGCCATCATATCTATTTATTGTTACCATACTTTGTGAATGGAGTAATGGAATTGTGGCCATCATACTCCTCTGCTGGAGTGGCGGACGATCAAGTATTCCCATGAAGTATAGCCTGCTGTTCGTTGTTGCTAGTTTCATGACCTGTGCGCCCCGTGCAGCGTGTGTAAATATTGTGACCAAATCACAAAATAAACCCTAAAACCTGGCTATCATGGCTTTCTGCGAAGGAGGTCTGCGATGGTACGTATCATCCTTTTCATAACCTAACATTTCAGTTATGTCACCGCAAAAGAAACGCACGCATTATTTTTTGAATTTATAATACAGGCCCGTATTATACATTCAATAAGACACGGAGCCTTGAGCACCGATTCAAGGCTCCAGTGCCTGATCCACAGTATATTTTACCACAAATTTAACAAGTTCATCAACAAAGCCATACTACCACGTCAGTCGCGACCGAAACGGACTCCGGTCGAAAGGGGTGTAACCCTCTATGCCGATTTAGAGCAGACAGAGAAGTTTACACTGTGAATCTTGATCCAAGCGCGCGTTGTTCACAATCATACAGCTGTAGCTGCCGGCGGAGGGCTGCCGCCCGGTGATTGGCCGGACGAGACAGATGACGTCTGATGACGTCAGACAGGTGGCGTCATGCCGCTCTCGGAGGGTCGGTCGGTGTGGGTGAATGTGCAGTGCAGAGGGTTGCGCCCAGGCGTCACACCGGAAGAATGGAAATGTTGTGCACCTGAAGCAGCAAACAGATGGCGTTAGGGGTCCTGAGTTATGCAGTGCGCCGAGTTATGTAGTACCGGTTTCTCGCGGTAGATGAACGTTCACGGTTGCGCTGTCAACATCAGTATCGATCGGACGCAAGTGCGATGATCGATCAGCATACATGGGTCATCTCAGCTGGTTTGACGTGCGCTGTACCGACCGACGGACCGACCGACCGCTGCACGCACCACAGTGCGACGGCTTACCGGCCTAGGCTGCCTCGGCCTCCTCCTCCTTCTTGCCACCGACCAGCAACTCGAGCACGCCGCCCAGGTCGATCTTGCCATCGTCGTCAATGTCGAACTGCTCGAACGCCTCGTCCACCTCCTGCGCGGTGAACTTTTCGCCCCACGTCATCAACGAGTGCCGGAAGCCGTCGCTGTTGATGGTGCCGTCGCCGTCGTCGAAGGCCTTGAAGGCGTTTACGATGACGTCATCGTCGTCGGCCTCGCCGGACTGCCGGCTAGCAAACATCGAAAGCAGCATGGTGAAGTTGATGGGGCCGGGTGCGTCGTTCAGCATCTCATCTACCTCCTTGTCGGAGACGATCCTGCCGATGATGTCAAAGGAGCTCCGGATGTCGCTCTTGTTAAGGATGCCGTCTTTGTCGGCGTCCATCAGCTGGAATCCCTCCTTGAACTCATTGACCTGCTGCTGGGAGAAGCAGGAGAACACACTGCTTCCGGCCTTCTTGCTGGATCTCTTCGAGCCCTGTGAGGCATGCAGTGATCGTCAGATGCGAGTGTGAATGGAGCAACTAAGGTCAGGTATAGCTCGCTCATTGCTTGTTTTGCGAAGACGGAAGACGCTTTTAATGAAAAACATTGCCCCGGCAGCAACCTCGCTGTAAAGCACGCAGTCGACAGTTCAGCAGAGCGGTGACAACATTTCTCCCGTGCCTTCTATCTCATCAGAGAACAGTTTGCCAATCGGCTGTCGTGGCTACACGTGTAGGGCGTGTTTTCCGCCAGCGGTCGCCGCGTCTGTCAGGCCAGGTGCCGATCAGCTGGCTCGGCCGCGTCTGCCCGGCCAGGTGCCGCTCAGCTGGCCCGGCCGCGTCTGCCCGGCCAGGTGCCGCTCAGCTCCCGGCAGATACTCACGCTGGCCCGTTTGGTGGAGGCGGGCTTGGGCGCGGGCGGCTCAGGGGCGGGGGCGGGAGCGGGCTCGGCAGCCGGCGCCTCCTCGGTCTCCTTCTTTTTCTTCTTCTTCTTCTTCTCCTTGTCGTCAGCCTGCGGAGAAGACACAGAGTCTGTGTTGGGCACCTGTCATCAAGCCTCTTTTGAAGCCTCGTCAATACGCAGCAAGCTCGAGTGTCCAAGTCCACCAGCACAGCAGACACGCTAGATCCATTGTGCTGCTGATGGGCCTAAGCATCAAGCAGCGGCTGGGTGGGACACAGGATTTGGAGTGCCAGTGACGCTGTTTGTCACGGACAGGCTTGTTGTAGACCTTGGAAGCGCTGCAGCTCACAAGACTGGCGCCGAAAATAGCTGATTTATGCCGTAGCCCAGCCAGCACTCTTCATCAAGGCAGACTGGTGATGACTCAGGGCAGCAGAATCACCGCAGTATGTCAATGTCACCAGCGTGTTGTCTTTGGCCAATATAAATAATCTGAAATAATAATTGTTGGTCTTCCCACAAGTGGCAATTAGCGCACGTTCTTAGCTCGCACTAATTTCTTCTTTATTTGAGATTATTTACCTGGTTGGAAGCGTACAGTTGTTTTGAACAACGCTGTTAAATCTTACCCAGGTGTGACCTACTGACCTACGTTGATCCCATTGGCCATTATTTTCCTTTTCATAACGGCATGCGAGTGAGCAAATTTTTCCGTCAGTTAACAGGTCATCCGGACGTCAGACCTCCTTTAGAGCACCTTCCGTCCGGCCTTTCCAAGCTTGGCCGCCGCCGACTCTTCAGAGGAGGCCAGCGTGGGACAGCGTCGGCTGATGGAGTGACGGCTGCGCGCGCATCGCAGCCGGCTGGGATCGCGTGTCCGTCGCCGGCGGCAGCTCGGTCCCGTGGCTGGCACGCCGACGCCAAATATAGCCGGCCGGCCGGCGGCCAGGCTTCGTCTAATTTTACTGCCTTCCGGAGTCGGGAGTGGCGGCTGAGAGGGGCAAGGGGACCGACTGTGGTACCCGCAGCCCCTCCCCCCCCCCCCCCCCCCATGGTACCATTGGCGCGACGGCCTGGCAAGTGGGAGGGGCGGACTGCTGACAGACGGATTGACCCTCGCTTAGTGCCGTCTTTATCGCCGGATTTTTTACTTTGAGCGTTGACAGGCTTTTTACTAGCTGTTGCCTGCATAGAAGTTCTTACAAAATCGCAGGAATGTGGCGTGATCTTCGCTAAGTGAGTGGATATGCGAAATATAAGACAGTTAAGTAATTAAGCCTTATTCCTCGGCACTACAAAAAAACAGGATATACTATCTCTATATATATTATGTATATATATATATTATACTCTATTAATATATATATATATATATAATATAAGTGATAATATATAGATGAGAGAGATGAGAGAGACGAGAGAGAGAGAGAGGAGAGAGAGAGACGAGAGAGAGAGAGAGAGAGAGAGAGAGGAGAGACGATGAGAGAGAGAGAGAGAGAGAGATATATATATTAATATATATTTAATATATCTATATCTATAATATATATATATATATATTATATATATCATATAATATATATGATTGTGTGTGTGTGTGTGTGTGTGTGTGTGTGTGTGTGTGTGTGTGTGTGTGTGTGTGTGTGTGTGTGTGTGTGTGTGTGGTGTGTGTGTGTGTGTATGTGTGTGTATAGTGGAGATATAGTTGGGTTGATATCTCGACAACATGCATTTATTGAAACAATAGCAGAGGTAAAGTCTATTAAAACAATAGACTTCAGCTATTGTTTCGACATGTTGTTGTCGTATACAGCTATTATATGTATCGACAGCTATTATATATTGCCGAAATATCAAACCCAACTATATCTCCATTCTCCTGGTTTTTATCCGACGAATAAGGCTAATACTGCTGTCTTATCTATGCGAATGATATTCCTCGCTAATGCACCAAACAACTTACGGATATGCGAAAGGATACGGCTACCAGAGCTGCGCTTGCAGATGCCAATAATACAATAATGGAAATGGCTGCTTCTGTTCGTGAGCATCATTTCGCTTAGAAATATGCGCACGAATAGATAGCCAAGCCAAGTTCAATAAATCAAGCACTATTGCACACCAGTTAACTTTGCTGCCATTCTGTGCAGTTCTGTACGCTGCCGTGTTGCATTTGTGACTCTCAAGTTTCAAATAAGCATGTATGTTGCATCAGTTACCAGCATCCATTGGTATAACAAACTACGTTTTACCATATAATTTCCCAGCTACGGCCATGGTTTATCAGACTTTTCTGCCGGATACCCTGTGTTACGCATGCTACGAGGGACTGACGCGTTTTAAGTTTGCCGGGCGTCATTAACCTCCGTTACCTTTTAGCTATTCACATCGCTTTCTCTGGTTTTGTCACAACTCGCATTATTCAGCGATATGAAAAACATGCATTCGGACATGTTAGCCGGTACTTTGGGTTCGCATCACGTGACGAAATGTAGAGATAAGCCAGCAGTGGCACAAAAGCAGCCACCGAAGGACATGGCAGATGGTCTGTTGATAACCAGCTAAAGTGAACTATCATACACACGTCAGCAGTGCAAACTTAGTTGCGCCACTGCGGTCAGTGCAGAGACAGTGCCGCAGAGTCTTGGGTGCTGTTACCGTCACCGGCTTTCTTTTTGGAAGGTAACAAAATTAGTCAACCTAGCACAGGTCGCCCCGACCGCGTTAATTTATGACGATTGTAACGATGAGAGGGAATTGCACGTACGTTACCGAGCCAGCGCCGTTCATGACTGAATGCTGAGGATGACCTTGTGTGTCAGAAAACAGTACGCATTAATTACTTTTCCGTGTGATCGCATGCCATTTATCAGTATTTGCTAATTTTGAACTTGACATTTACGTGCCGGTGTTGCTGTATAAATTTTCTGGGGTACCTCCCAAACATTCATTGGTATCTTGCTGGAGACGCATGAAAAACAAAAGAAAGTATACCAAAGGCAAACTGCTCTAGCCCAAAGCATAAACACTATTCACAAAGCCGAGAGGGGAATATTTTTGTTCCCTGAGGCAAGGATCAAACAAAGACGTGAAGTCGATTCCCTGTAACCGCACGCAACCATGCAAACGACAAATTGTACAACGCAATCACCTATCCGGAAACCATAAGGAATATCAACTGACGGATTGCTGATCAAAATAGCCGTGTTGATTTATATTCTGCAAAATTTTCTCAACGACGAGATATGTAATCTCACAGCTTACAAACGTGCTGAGTGCAAACGCTGCTAACGCGAGAGATAGCCTATTTCCACCCATACGCCCACCCCATTGTTACGGCCCTCGTGAGTGCCGGCAACAGATCAGCGCTGCTACGGCTCTCGTGAGTGCCGGCAGCAGATCAACGCTGCTACGGCTCTCGTGAGTGCCGGCAGCAGATCAGCGCTGCTACGGCTCTCGTGAGTGTCGGCAGCAGATCAGCGCTGCTACGGCTCTCGTGAGTGCCGGCAGCAAGTCAGCGCTGCTACGGCTCTCGTGAGTGTCGGCAGCAGCTCAGCGCTGCTACGGCTCTCGTGAGTGCCGGCAGCAAGTCAGCGCTGCTACGGCTCTCGTGAGTGTCGGCAGCAGATCAGCGCTGCTACGGCTCTCGTGAGTGTCGGCAGCAGATCAGCGCTGCTACGGCTCTCGTGAGTGTCGGCAGCAGATCAGCGCTGCTACGGCTCTCGTGAGTGCCGGCAGCAGATCAGCGCTGCTACGGGCTCTCGGGAGTGTCGACAGCAGATCAGCGCTGCTACGGCTCTCGTGAGTGCCGGCAGCAAGTCAGCGCTGCTACGGCTCTCGTGAGTGTCGGCAGCAGATCAGCGCTGCTACGGGCTCTCGTGAGTGTCGACAGCAGATCAGCGCTGTTACGGCTCTCGTGAGTGCCCGCAGCAGATCAGCGCGACGAGGCAGTATCAGCCATTGGACACGCTGGTAGATGCCATTATCATTCGGTGGGACATGCCACAAAAATTGGCTGATGTCGTTGTAATGTGCAGTTTCGTACCATGCAAATTCAAAAAAGCCTGCCGGTCCTAAAAGTTTGCAGAGCATTTGTGAGCCAGCTCACATCCAAAACCAATCAACCTTCCCCCGGTGTATCCCCTTGGACCTCAAGCCGCGGGAGGTCGTAATGGTTCAAAGTCCTTCTGAAATCCAAGGCTGTATATCAACACATATCTAATAAGTCCAAGTCTATATCTAAGCTGAACGCCTTTAAACCAAATTTTAACAGAATTCACCTTACCCCTGTTTTCACTGTTTCATCAACTGAACTACAGTGAGCGTCACAAATACTTGGCTGATCAACTGTAAAGAGGTAAGGCTCAGCACTTTTCTGGGGGCACATACTTAACTACTGAAATTAAAGATAATCACTCTTTATCCTCATTCACCGCCTCATGCTGACTTCACGCCTCGTCCTGCGCGTGTGGGGCAGGCGGCGATCAACGTCGGCCTCGAGCCGAGGAGGTGCCGCCCGAGCGCCCTCACGTGCCCTGGAGGCCGGCTGGAGCCGAGGAGGCGCCGCCCGAGCGCCCTCACGTGCCCTGGAGGCCGGCTGGAGCCGGGGAGGCGCCGCCCGAGCGCCCTCACGTGCCCTGGAGGCCGGCTGCCTGTGCGGGGTGTCGTCTCGATATGAGGAAGTCTCCCACGATGGCCGCAGCGCTGTGTCACCGCTTACATCTCTCCTTCATTCACGGCCCTGAAGTGGCCAGTGTTGGCCACCAGCCTGTAGTCTCAAGCAAACCGGATCATCTTTCGGTTTACTGAAGTTAAAGCCGAGTTAGTTTCTGTCGTGGAGGCAGCAAGACACATCAAATGCTTTGATAAGATAGTGAATGGGCGTTACGCATCGAAACTAAAAAGGTATAGGACACCTCTTTTTCAGAAAAGCTAGACCGATGCACACTTAGTATCAGGATCTTGACGTGCAGGAACTAAAACATTTTCATGTATGTGAAAATGCCTTTAATGTTTATGAATGACAGTTCCGGGTTGAGCACAAATGCAATATTCTGCTACAATGCCGAAGCGGGGCCCGGCAACAGTTGTATGTTCAACAGACAGTA